TCCCAGCTATCCTGGAACTATGTAGACCAGGCTGGCCTTGAACTCACAGAGATCTGCCTGCCTGTGCCTCCCGAGTGCTGGGATTAAAGGCATGTGCCACCATGCCTGGCTTGTCTTTTTATTATTATTACATTTTCTTTTTCTTTTGAAACAAACTAGCCTTGCCAGGTAGCCTAGGATGGCCTTGAACATCTGACTCTTTTGCTACATCCTCAGTCCTAAAATTGTGTCTTCCTGGCAGAAATTTGATCATAATTTTGGAAGTTATAACATCCATCAAAAGGGCTGTGAGTTTTCCCCAACAATGAACATAAATTGGCCTGGGATTTTCCTTACTCCTAACTAACAGGCATATCATTTATCTGTCATACAGGAAACTAGGTTTATGCTTACCTCTGTCTTATCAGAAACACAAGACTTAAAATAAGTTCCAGACACTGGAAAGATTGCTCAGTGGTTAAGAGCACTTTTTCAGAGGACTGGGATTCAGTTCTCAGCACCCACAATGGTGGCTTACTTCCATCTGTAACTCCAGTTCAAGGGATTCAACATCTTCTGGTCCCTGCACACACACACATGCAGGCAAAACACTCAATACATATAAAACAAAAATAAATAAATCTAAAAAAATAAAAATTAAAAAGTTCCAAATATTGATTACATGTAAACTTTATAACCTTTTATATAAAGAAGACATACAAAATCCATATTCTCCACCTTAAAAAGATGTTAAGCTCCACCAAACTCCAGTCACATTGACCTTCTTTCCTTGCTGTTACAGCATACCACTCTCTTTTCTGCCTTTGGGCTCACTGCTCTACCAACCTCTCTATCTAGACAGTTACAATTTCACCCCTCCCTGCCTTTTACATAGGATGGCTCTTTGTTGTTCTTTAGGCCTTAGATAAATAGGCCTTTCCTGGCCACTAAGACTGACTCTTCTTCTCAGTGACAGCCCCCTATTTGTTTTCTTCAAGGTACTTACTCCCTGGCGACCTTGTTGCCAATGTGTCAGTGGCCAGCCAAGCCTTACTGCCACTCACTTCTGTGTTCCCCTCTGGACAGTGAGGAGAAAGCCTAGAACTCTTTATTTTCCAGGGGACTTTTCCTGCATGTTCCAAGTTAAGTTCTGCCAGCAAAGACACATATATGAGATTTGAAAGGCAGGAGAACAGCATTAAAAAAGAAAGAAAGAAAGAAATGGGACAGCTGGGGCTGTAGCTCAGTGATAGAGCACATGAATAGACTCTGACTTTGGTCCCCAGCACTACCAAAGAAGAAGGGGGACTAGCTAGAGGTAATAAGGTGAAACTTCATGAATGTGATTTTGTTCTTATGAATGAGTCCTCAGATTTTTTATTTTAACTTTCTGCCAAATGGGGAAACATAGTTGGCATCGTCTATAAAGAACAGGCCCTCACCAAGCACCAAACCTGCTAGTGCCTTGCTCATGAACTTCCAAGCCCCAGAATTGTGGGAAACAGATACTGTTTATATTGTTATGCCAGGCCTTATAGGGCCTAGGGTGAGTAGGCATCTTGTTCTAAGTGAAAGAGGAACTCTCTTACCCCATATGGCACATTTAGGCAAAGTATTAAAAAAGGCAACAACTCCTCAAAATATTTCCATTTAAAAAAAAATCTTATTTATTTTTATTTTATGTTTATGCGTGTATTGCCTGCATGTATGTAAGTGTACCCATGTCATACAATGACCACAGAGGTCAGAAGAGGGTGCTTGATCCCCTGGAACTGGAGTTATGGGCAGTTGTTAGCTACTATAGGGATGCTGGGATTTGAATCTGGGTCTTCTGCAAGAACAGTCAGTGTTCTTAACTTCTGAGTCATCTCTCCAACCCCAATATTTCCATCTTAATGGAAACTTGTTGTAATTTAACTTTGTTAGAACAAGGCAAATTGAGTGTGGCACTGTCCCATAGAGTCATTTATTTTTCTGCAATTTGCACAATTATATATGGCAGCCTTAGCGAGAAGCCACTGAAAATTTTCTGCAAGGAATGACATGATCCTGTGTGGTGCCTGTAAGGAGGGGATGGACAAGAGGCAAGATCAGATGAAGTAGGTTTCTCTCTCTCTCTCTCTCTCTCTCTCTCTCTCTCTCTCTCTCTCTCCATGTGTGTTTGTGAGGACAGAGGTCAATTTTAGGTGTCCTTTCTCAGGAACCATTCACCTTATTCCCTGAGACAGTTTCTCACTAGGACCTGGGGCTCTCCCTGATTAGGCTAGGCTGGCAGGCCAGTGAGCTCTAGAGAGCCTCTTGTCTCTACTTCCCAACACTGGGATTACAGGTGTGTGCCACCACACACAGCTTTTTATGTGGGTGCTGGAGATCGAACTCAAGTTCTCATTCTTGCACAACAAGCACTTTACTGACTGAGTCATCCCTCAAACCCTTGCTGTTGTTTTCTGAGATAGAGTCTTGTGTAGCCTAGGCTGGCCCCCACTACGTACGTCCCTGCTGAGGATGACTTTGAGCTCCAGATCCTCCTTGTTCCTCCTCCCAGGTACTTTGATTATGGGTGAGCCTGCAAGTAGATCTTCCCGTAATAAGGAAACCAAGAGCTTGGATGCCAGTGGAGGAAGGGACAATGACTCATCAGGTTTGTGGATGTGACAGGGCCATTTTACTGTGACAGTCCAGACTGAGAGAGGACCCAGGCTCTCCCCTTGAGTGATGCTTCCAGTGAACAACTTACCAAACTCTTTTCCAAAATAGACATCCTAGAAAAACTCATTTTTGTTAAAGGACAATGAACAAGATGAACTTTGTCTAAGAAGGCTTATAGATTTGGGTTGATTTGAACTAAAATTTTTCTAATAATTTTCAAGCTTTTCTATTCTACACACTCTGTCTTCTTTCCTCCACTCAGCAATCTCTCAAGTAGTTCCTATTTTATCTTCATGATACAGATGAGATGTGAGGAGATGGACAGATTGTATCACCTGAACAGGTACTGCAGTTACAGACTAACTTGAGTTATCGACCGCCTTTTAGTGACTTTTGGTCTCTGATTTTGTTCAGCTTGGTATGTGCTATCTAACAGAGCTTTCAGTGATGATGGGAATATTTTATAGCTACACTGTCTCATAGTCATATGGTCAGTGTGAGTGAGAAACTGGATCTTAAATTTAAATTTTAATTAAGACATATGGCTACTGGTTATCATGTTTCCAGTATGTCTCTAAATAAATGGTTTCTAAACTGGGGAGTACACATCTCAGGGAGGGAAAAGAATACAAGGATGCAGAATGAGAATATATCACTCCACAGAGTTAAATCATTATTTTGTATAATTTATTTTAACAATTTATTATTTTTATTTTATGTGTGTGAGTGTATTGCCTGCATATGTTAAGTGTACCCGTGTTGGGCCATGTCCCCGGAGGTCAGGAGAGGGCATCAGAGTCCCCTGGAATTGGAGTTATGGATGGTTGTTGGCTGCCATGTGGGTGCCGGGAATTGAACCTGGGTCCTCTCCAAAAGCAGCCAATGCTCTTAACCACTGAACCATCTCCAGTCCCAATTTCTTCCTTCTTTCTTTCTCTCTCTCTCTCTCTCTCTCTCTCTCTCTCTCTCTTTCATTCATTCGAGACAGGGTCTCTCTGTAGACCCAGTTGGCCTGGAAATCAATATGTAGACCAGGCTGACCTTGAATTCACAGACATCCAGATGCCTCTGCCTCCTGAGTGCTGGGATTAAAAGCGTGTGCCACCACATCTGGCTTGATGTTCATTCTTTTATTATCTCTATTTTACAAATGAAAGAACTGAATGCAATTATGTCCAAGGACACAGGTATTAGAGTTGGTGGCAAAGCCAAGATTTTGAGTGCAGGCATTCTGGCTTGCATCTGTGTAGTTTATTGTTAAGTTAAAGAAATGTATTCATGGGAGAGGGCAACATTTTAACTGATGAAGTGCATGATTAAAAATGTTTGGTGACTAATGCTCCAGACTGGACCCTAGATGACAAAGCAATTCTTAATTTCACATTTTAAAGGGATTTCAGAGCCTCTAATATATGTAAAGATCGTATGATTGCAGTCCTGTAACTATCCCTATTACAAAACTCTTCACCTCTGCCAATTTTTTTCTGGTTACTAATTTTAAACAATTTTGTTTCAGAGATATTAAATGGAGAATGGGAAGCAGAAAACCTAGAGAATTCCAGACGGAAGAGCAGGAGGAAAACCAGAGCTCAAATCTGCTCCCTTTCAGCCTGTGCTCTTCTGTGCGTAATGGTAGCGCAAATTCAACATCAATCAAACGTTTAAAAAAATTCTCTGAAGTAATAAATTAATAGGAAGTATAAAATTTACTACAACCCAATTTCTACTCTCCCCTCCATTTTTTGTTTCAATGGCACACTTTCTCCAGCGCGCCTGCTTCTGCTATCTGCAAACGCACATCGAACACTTGGTGCGGGGTGGGGTGAGCTGGGGTGGGGTCGGGTGGGGTGGGGGGTTAAACTGAGCCACTCCACGTACTATCTTATCAACGGTCTCCAGGTATGCGAAGTAGGGAGCTGAGGCTTGGAGGCACCAGGGAAAAGTTTTGACAAGACCAGAGTCCTAAGTCATACACTTAAAAATGGCTAGGTGAAGGGTGAGGTGTCCGCGTGTGCTCACGGAAGATCCCTTGCTTCGGGAGGCAGGGGCTTTGCACAAAGCAGGTGCAACGGGCAGCGTCCTCGAGACAAGAGCACTTTGGAGCCCACAGATCCAAAGTTCAATTCCCTGGGGAGGCATCGAAGGAGGGGGGTTCCTTCCGTTCTTCCAGTCCACCTGAGAACTTCCTCAACAGCTTAACGGCCCTTGTCGGAGCCAGAAAAGTCAGACCCAGACGCACTGGAGCAGGATTCCCAGTGGCAGGGCCTTCCCAGCTGCCAGCCTCCTGGGTGGGTGTGGCCTCCGCTCAAGGCCCTGCCCCTCGAGCGATCGCACGGGATGGGGGCGGGGCGAGGCGAGGGGCGGGGCGAAGGAACCGGGAAGAAAGGGCAGGGCGGGTGTGCTCGCGCCCGCACACTCGCGCCAGGAGCCTGGACGGGAACGCGCCGGTGCGCGCGCAGGCGGGAAGCCAGCCCCTGTGGCTGTTGTCGGGTTCGACTAGAGGGGCGGGGGAGTCACCTGCGAGCGGCTGCGCCTGTCGCCCTCCCTCGCGCGGCGTCCGGATCGCGCCAGCGGCGCCGGGCCGCACACACCCAGCCAGGCTGGGGCGGGGGAGCAGGCAGAGTCCGCGGCCGGAGTTGGCTACCAGGAGGATCCGCACCCTCGGCGCCGCCGCCTGCGCCCGCCCGGGTAGGTGGAGCGGGGGGTCGCCGGTCGGCCGAGCTGTGGAGGGAGAAGCGAAACTTCGCGGGCCCTTCCTTCCGCGGCGCGGGGAGTGTCGGTGGCGCGGGCGGCGGCCGACGCCATGTTGGGGTCTGTGGGAAACGGGGCGCTCCCAGGCGGCTCCCCTCGTGCGGGGACCGGCGCTGGAGCTGCAGCCGCCGCGGTCCAGCCTCTCCCCGTGAGCCAGGCGCCTGCTGAGGGCCGGGACTGGACGTCGCCGTCCAGAAGTTGCTGGGCGTCCTCACGTCGGGTCCCGGACGCGCCCGGGGCGCCCTGAAAACTTCGCAGGGTCTGGGCGTCTGGGGCACGCGGTGACTTGAGAGCGAGTTTTTAGGACTGGAGAAGGGGAGGGGATGGACCGCAGAGTTGGCTCTGACCGGACCACCGGTTTAGGCACTATTTGGCCGTTTGAAATAAGTTTTATGATCTTTTGCTGAGTTTGTGTTTTTTTAATGTTATTAAAGGCCGAGAGCGCGCTCCCCAAGTTGCTGGAGTGGCCTTGGGTGCTCCTAGGACATTCTCCAAATAGCTGTGTGTGTGCAGAGGAACTGAGTAGAATTCAGGTTGCATGTACCTAAGCAGTAATTCATACTCAGGACGTCAAGTTGGTAAATGCCTTCTTTGTTATGTTTTATTACGTTGCCTAAGAGACTCATTAAAGAAAGATTTAGACACAAAGGTTCATTTGAGATTTTAGGCGTGTGTTGTCTTAAGAAGGTGACGTTGCCGCGTGTGGTGGCTCATGCCCCACAGTCTCAGTATTCGGGATCGCCGGGGAGTTCGAGGTGAGCATGAACTACTGAGACTGTCAGAAACAAACCCCCACAAACCAGCCAACCGCAACAAAAAGAATATGGGGAAGTGATCTTGACATTGCAGTTTTTTTCTTTAGCTTTTGGCTCCTTAAGGGTGCATGCTTACCTGCTGTGTTTTGAGCCTTCATTGTGTTCTGTTGCAGGGCGGGGGCGGGTCGACAGCCACAGTGGAGGTCAAAGGACACCTTGCAGGAGTCAGTTTTCTCCTTCCACAAAGTTGAGTCCCCAGGATAGAACTCGGGTTCGAAGGTCGGAGGCAAGCTCAGTAACTATCTTATCCTCTATTTTATTCTTTAATAAGTAAAAATGCTTTCTGCTTATGTTTGTCAGTCTCAGTTCTTGGAAAAAAATATATTTGGTTCATTGTCAGGTCAATGCCATATACATAGTTTTTGGACCAAGAATTATTTAGAAATGAAGTTACTTAACTAATCTCACAGATCTAGCAGCCGAGCTGATGTTTAACTGGGTCTTATGACTGAAGCCATCTTCATTTTCCTTTAGCATAGCTTTTTGTAGGATTGCAACTCATCCCTGTGCGGCAGTCTCTGTCCTTTAGTTTATTTGCTGATCTTTATGATTGAATTTGGTTTTTTAATGTAGCTACCTCCTAGAGACCTGATTTACAATTTGTATTGAAGTTCTCTCCACCCCCCCCTTTTTTTTTTGCCATTTTGAGACAGGGTCTCCTGTAGCCCCAGCTGGCCTGGAACTCACTATGTAGACCAGGCTGGTCTTGAACTCACAGAGATCCACCTACCTCTGCCTCCCAAGTGCTGGGATTAAAGGCATATGCCACCACACCCTTCGAAGTTCTTCCTCTTTAAAACAGTTAAATTACCCAGGCTTGGTGGTGCATAGCTGTAATCTCAGCATCTGGAGGCTGAGGCAGGATTGCAGTTTGATCTGGGCTGCTTAGTGAGAAGCTTGCCTGCAAACAAAAAACAAAACCAAGCCCCTCTTAAACCTATACTTGGAAGCCTTTCTGTTATTTGCTGTCTGTACTTCCTCTGGCTCCCCAGAGTTTGGTTCACTTCTCCCATAGTAGGTATCCCTCTAGGTACTGCATGAATGTATAATGGCACATCCTTGGCAGCAGGCATCACGTGTTTTGCCTGTCCAGCCCCAGCAAATTGAGAACATAGCAGATGCTCAGGAAACGTTTGAATGGATGAATACCCATATGTTTATTCCTTGTAAATGTGCTTCATGAATTTATGAAATTGTATAATTTCCATGGGAACAGTTGTTAAATTTTCTCTCTAGTCTTTTCTCTAATACATGTTATATACTTCATTCTATCCACAGATTCATTGGTTGAACTCTTCTTTTTAATTTTTTTAAAAAAGAATTTACTTTGATAACTCAGTGAATTTTGGCATAAGAAGACAGACTTGAATATGAGATTTCCAAGTGGATAATGGTCTGATGTATAATTGCTGATGAATTGGAAGCTGTGGATGAAGGGTGGTAATCACAGTTTTAAAGTGTGATTGAATTTTTGCTATTGATGGGAATAGTAATGCCTGGAAAATTAGAAAGTCTTGTTTATATTTTAGGCTGTTTGATCAAGCAAATTCATTGTTGTTTTGCCAGTGTGTGTCTTGTTATAGTTGTCTTAGCATTTTTTTTCAGAATGCTGTGCTTAATGAGACAGTAAAACTTGCTTTTCTGATGGCTGGGCGTGGTGGCGCACACCTTTAATCTCAGCACTCAGGAGGCAGAGGCAGGCAGATCTCTGTGAGATCAAGGCCAACTTGGTCTACATAATGAATTCCAGGCCAGCTGGGGCTACAGGGAGACCCTATCTCTAAAAGACCAACAAAACAAAACAAAAAAAACCTTGCTTTTCTGTTGATAAGTGTATCTTTGAGAACCAGCTTCCTGTACAAGCTGTTTGCTTATATAGCATTGTTGCTGGTGTAGCTGAATAAGAATACTTCATAGTTGTGATTTTGCAGTTCTTATTTTAAAATAAATTTTAAACATTTTGTGTGTGTGTGTGTGTGTGTGTGTGTGTGTGTGTGTGTATGCACATGTGGAAGTTACAGGCCAACCTGCTTGAGTTGGTTCTTTCTACCATGTGGATCATAAGAATTGAATGCAAGTTGAACTCAGCCATCCTACCAGCCCTGCAGTGATAATTTAAGTTGCAAAACTTCTCTAGCTTAAGGTTCTTTGTAATTCTGTAGTGAGTGTGAAATTTGAGATTAATTTCCTGTCCCCACCTAAGATAATTCTTTCTTTAATCAATCTCAATCTCTCTCTGTGTCTCTCTCTGTCTCTGTCTCTCGTTTAAGACGATCTCATGTAACCTTCCTCTAACAGCAACACCGTATGTAGCTGAATGACCCTGAGTTCTGATCTTCCTGCCTCTATCGGTATGCACCACTGCACTCGATCTATTGGTGGTGGTGGTGTTTTTTTCTTTTGAGACAGTGTGTCACTATGTAGCTCAGGGTGACCTCAAACTCTGTATTCTGCTGCCTCTGCCTTCCTACATGCTGGAGCCACAGGGATTGCTACCACTCTTGGCACCTCTGTCGTCTATAAAGCACAAACCAGTGTGCACAATTTGGGGAGGTCCTGGGAAGAGACTAGAAGGCAGTTATGTATGCCGTGAGTATACTAGAAGAAAGCAGCTTCTGTGTAGGGCAGACTGGAGCACATAAACTGAGTCCTGGCCTTTGCTCTCCTGGCTTGACTCTTGAATAAGTCAAGTCATTTCATTTTTCTAAGCTTCACTGGAGTCATTTGTGAAGTGGACATAGAAATATTTACCTCACAGAGTTGTGAAGATTCACTAAAATGTTTGGAAGTGCTTGGCACATGGTAGTATTTATTGAATGAACAGAGCAACAATGAACTATATGGAATCACATAATTTTATTTATTTATTTATTTTTGGTCTTTTTGAGACAGGGTCTCCCTGTAGCCCCAGCTGTCCTGGAATTGACTATGTAGACCAGGCTGGCCTTGAACTCACAAGGATCTGCCTGCCTCTGCCTTCCGAGTGCTGGGATTAAAGGCGTGCGCCACCATGCCCGGCTTTATTTTTTATTTTATGTGTATGTGTGTATTGCCTGCATGTAAGTGCACCTGTGTCATACAATGCCCTCGGAGGACAGAAGAGGATGTTGGAGTCCTTGGAACTGGAGTTATGTGCAGTTGTTAGAACCTGGGTCTTCTGTAAGAACAGCCAGCGTTCTTAACTGCTGAGCCATCTCTCCAGCCCAGAATCACATAATTTTAAATTTTAAAAGAAAAAATAAAAATAACTCATTCAACTCTCAACTTTGGCTGTGTGTTAGAATCTACTGAGGAGCATCTTAAAAATACTGTCTGGCTGGACGTGGTAGTGCACGCCTTTATTTCCAGCACTGCAGAGGCAGGAGAATCTGTTAGTTTGCCAATCCAGTGTACATAGTGAGTTCCAGGCCAACTGGGGCTACAGGGAGATCCTGTCTCAAAAACACAAAACACAAAACACTAATGCCTGAATCTACCCCAGAATAAATCAGGATTACTAGATTTGGGCAGAACATAGGTAATATACCTTTTTGGTGGGTAGGGCACTTAATATTTTAAGGTGTAGTCAGGGTTGAAAACCTTTGGTTTTTATCTTCCTTTTTTAAAAATCTTTTTTTGTGGTTGGCTAAAGTGTAGTCAGACTAGAAAGGTTGTAGATGCAGTTGAGGAAAGTGAAGCCCATAAAGATTAAGTAGCAGTTACATTCTTTTCTGGCCAGAAAGGCCTTGTCAGGAATTAGGGTTCCGAAACTGCAGTGGTGTTCCCCTCCCTTCTGCATCAGCAAGCTGTGTAGGTATGACCACGTTGCTTAAGGGCGTCAGCCTCACTGCTCTGCCTCAGGTCTTAACTCCATGGCCAGATGGTGATGTGTAGGCCAGCATGCTGTTGCTGTTTTCCACCACCAAAGTAGAGTAGATCTTTGTCCTCACTGTCGTCTCCAGTCCTTCCCAGACCATACGTATTCTTTCTGACTGTGAACTCAACAGCTTCTATTCTAGCCACAAAATCACCATGGAAGCCCCTTTCTCTTTACACGTTACTCAATACAGGTGGTTGATTCCTAACTTGTAAGTGTTGCTTCATCTACTTCTGGTCCTGTCCCAGGTTATACTGTGACGACTA